ATATTGTACCACGAGTTAGCCCTTTGATCTTGTAGCCTTTTGTTTGGAAGCCATATTTTTTCCTTGATCCTTTTATTGAATCCCTAGTTTTTGCACCCTGCTTCCTTGAGCATTGTTGCTTAGACCGTAATATTAATTGATAAATTTGAAGAATGGGATGGCTAAGTGAAAATGGTGACCAATGATAGCTAAAAGGTGATGAAAAGAGATTCTTGAAAAGAATGTGACATGATAAAAGAGAGAATGAAAAAAAAATTGCTTCTAAAAAAATGAAATGTTCTTGATATGAGGGAAATACTTGTGAAACAATAGATGAAGAGAGGGCTGAAAAATAAAGTGAAGAGCAGAAAATAATGGGTGATGAAGTCTAAAAGTGCAAAGTGCTTAGGGAAGTGTAAGTCACTATTATATAGTTTTCCTAACCGTCCCTTAGCCAACATTACAACCCGTTAAAGTCCTAGTTGATTCTATTCGAGCATACTTAATTAGTAGAGATGTACATAATGGGCAAGCCTATGGTTCTTTGTGCATACATGTGACTTCCTTTGTGAGTGCGAGAGTTGTTCTTTGATGCAAAGTCCTTAAATTATATTCATTCTTTGATTTGAGTGTATGGACTATTTATTCTTGTGAGGGCACTTGTTTCATGATAGATAGGTGATGTTATTAGCTTTATTTGACAGAATAGATGAGCGAGCTTAAATTTGGTGATTTGGTGAGTTAGAGTCTCTCTCTGAGGTTAGGAGGTTAGAAGTTTGTTGTTCGTTTGTGACTTGTATATCGTGTACGATGATCAGGAAGTGTATATCTGATGGTTTGAGTTGCCATAGGGCCTAATGGTTAGTATCAACCAAAGTGGTGGTGTTTGTAGGCTTGATTTATTGAGAGTTGTTTTAATGCTTACTCGAGGACGAGTAAGAGTCTAAGTGTGGGGTAGTGATGTTCGGCCAAAAAAAATGCATATATTTACCCATTGTGGCCTCATATTCTAGTACTTTTAATCGTCTTTTGAGTATTAATTATATTGTTTTGTGCTTAATATTATATTTTAATTGTGTAGGAATAAAGCGATATGAAGATGAAGAAATTTGGAGTAAATTGAATAAAATACGGAAGAAAAAAAAAGAAAATTAAAATAATAAAAGAAAGGAGGGACGCCATTTGGGTTTTGTCCCCCCAAGTGGAGACAACTAAGGAATTTTACAATTCAAAAAAGAGGAAGTTACAATTGAAAGCAAATTTGACAAAGCAACGTAAAAAAAAAGCGTACTGCTTCCAGCGCCACGACGTTGGCCTTAACGCTGTGTTGCGGGGTTTTCCTATTTCGTTCGGGACAATGTTATTTTGGTCCTATACGGTTCTAATATACGGTTCTAACTTGTATAAAAAGAATTCTAAACCTAATTTGGAGGGGACCTAACATACTTTGAAGGGAGTTTCACGTGGAGGAACACACACCGCGCTTGTATGAGGCTTCTAGCTAGTTCTTCTTCTCTTCTTTTAATCTCATAGTTTATTAGTTCTAGAGTTTTTGGGTGCTACATGAACGTTGTAGTTTGAAGCTTAGATTGCTCTTATTNGGGAAGGGGGGACGGATTTGCGGTTAGGATAGGAATATACCTAATCGCCTTGCTTGGTTATTATACGGAATTTATAAATGTGTTCTTGTTAATCCTAATTCCATAGAAATATAGGCGTTAGGTTAGCTTGAATAGATGAGTTGTACTTCGGGAGAAGGCTACGAGCAATATTAACCCCGTCAATCAATAAACTAGATAAATTAATTAGACAATTTTGGTAGAAAACTCAACGGGATTGTTAGCTAACCCATAGCTATAGAATATTCATTCACATTGAATTCGGCTTTAAGTTTGTCGTTGTTTTCTTTAATCTCTTAATTTGTTACTTTAGATTAATTTTAGTTAAATATTCATACGTTAGAATTCGCTTGAATAGATTAATCGTTTGGTTTAATTTAGTTGATAGTTATTCACAAGTTCCTGTGGGTACGATATCTAGACTTACAATCCTATATTACTTGTCGACGACGTATACTTGCGTATGCGTTTTGGAGCAACATAAGGCATTGAGTTCGAGATCGAAGTCTCGTTCAATATCGAGGTCGGTATCAATCGAAGTTAGGGAAGATAGACTTCGAGTAACATCGGGGATAGCTAGGTAACAGAAAGAGCGAGATATCCGTGGTTGGTCTAGGATCGTGGCGTGAATCTCGGAATGGATCAATCCACAACGGTTAATTAGATGTTAATATGGTTTCCTACTATAATTAGAAGTGTACCTTATTTAGGACTCTTCTATTATATAAAGGGAGATCCTATTCATTTGTAATGATCATTATTGACCGAAACAAAAGCAATATTCTTGTTCATCAATTTATTCAATCTTTACTGTTATCACCTCGAGGGTACCTTAATTCAAGGCTGAAGCTCTGTTTGCATACTGGTTTGGGTTATTTACAGATCAATTCTACTTTTTATTTTTTTTCTACTTATCAATTGGTATTGGGTAAAATCACATACCCTTAAAATCATAATATAAGTTTAATTATTATCCAAATTCTAGGGTAAACAATACTTACTACTCTTATTAGGGTCTGAAACTTTTTCATTATATTTGCTACTTGAGAGCCTTAAGGCGATGCTTTTACTACAACAATGACAATTCTTTCCAGTGATATATGACACAAAACTCTAATTTGCTTGTAATTTGTAATATCTATTTAAAAGTTTTTTCTGATTCTCCAAAGTTAATTTCCAAGTCACCAATATACATTTTAATGTTCTCATTGACCAAAATATATTAAATTTCCTGTAAGAAACCAAAAAAGAAAATAGAATACAAATGAAATAGATTCTGAAAAGCTAAAAAGTTTCAACGAAAACAAAAAGATAGATGACACGAGAATGAGTATTGAAATATTTTCTTTTTATATTCTTAATTCTTCTATTGACTTATTTTCTTGCAATGAGTTGAATTGTTTTTTTCTTCCTATTTAGGAGGGTGAGGAAGTTTGGTGCCAATCCTAACATACACAACTTCCTTCTCTTCTTTCTTTCACGTCATATTCTTTGAAGCTTATTTCATAAAATTCAGGCAAATATTGTGCGTGCTCATATGACAAACTAAATTTGATTGTCTACTTTGCAGATTCGGAGTAGTTCACATTCATCTCCCTCGAGTTAATTTTTATTTTTATTTCTCCTGTTTCACTCACTAATTTCGTCACTAATGTCAACGGAACTAAAATGCTTATTTTCTTAATTTTATTTATGTGTCTACGCTACATTTGAAGACTTCGATTCTCCTTTATCAGTTATATAAAATAAAAATACACTCCATACATCCCAAAAAAGATGATACTTTTCAATTTCTGCGCGTCAAACGACTTATTTTCCACCGTGACTTTTTCATATGTCTTTTAAATATTTTAGAATATTAATTATTATAATTTTAGTACTTTTTATGTAATTTCTGAAAATATGTAAATTTTATTTACAAAACTTAAAGACTAATTCTATATTCGAATTTTCTGTTAAAATTAAGAAGTTTAAAACTCTCAAATTGAAAAAATCTTTTTGGAAATGAGGAAGTATATCATTTTCTGCAACTTAAATTTTTTCCTTTTAACTTTTTTTATGTAGTTCAAATATATTCTTTGCTAATATTTTATGTGATTCTTAAAAAGTTCATGCTCATTGGCAGGGCGAAGCTATATTTTTCTAAGGATGGTCAATTGATCATCCTTCGCCGAAAAATTACACTGTGTATATAGATAAAATATTAAGTTTTTAAGGCAACCCTCTTTGTTGGAAAATTTGACGCGCCCAAAAATTAGCATATATATGGAATACTTTTCACTTGTCAAAAGGATGTAAAAAGTAGAGAATGATAGGTCATGGAGAAATCGTAAAGACCCATCATGTGAATGATGTCATTTCCCTTTAGATATTGAGCACCTAATTGTGTCACGGGTGTCTTTTAGGTCATAAATGCTTATGAGTGTTGTATGTAAATATTACAGCACGTACAAAGGGATTGGTATATCTCCTATAGAAAATGAATAATGAAATAAAATTTCTTGTTATTTCTGCTTTTATTATTTTGCTTAAAGCAAAGAAGTTGCAATTAATTGGAAGCAATTAAACACTTAAATATGCAAAGACACTGTGGTGAAAATCATTTAAGACATACTAAAATGAATCATAATCCAAAAGCTCTCAAAGTTACAATGAAATTCATGGAATCCCATTTTCGTAGCATTTTTCAGGTTATTGGTTACTTAATTAAATTCCTGAAGCAAAAAAAACAAAAATTAAATTTAAAAAGGTATTAATTAATTTCCTGCTCTATGTTTGTAACGGATTAATTAATTTGCAGATAAACTTGTTGCATTATGAGTATATTATCGTGGTGCTTTTTTAATTTGCAGAAATACATGACTGATACTAAATAGATTTTGAAAGACATCATATATATAATTATATCACGCGTGGCTATCATTAACTTTTCAAGGTCAAATTAACTCATAAGGGAATAATCACAACCCAAAAATGTTCCCTAATGCAGTATGATAATGTTACCTTTTTATTTGATAATGTTCCAGAACGTGTTATGCAATATGCACAAAGGGAGACACTCTCTATTCAGCCATCTATTTCGTATTTTCGTTGTCGTATCCTGTATTTCATATTTCATATCTCTTATATATTGTTGCTGTTTTATTACGCATTTTTACGGTACTAATGTATCATCTCCTATTGCTTCTTTTGAGCCGAGGGTCTCCTGGAAACAGCCTCTCTACCCTTCGGAGTAGGGGTAAGGTCTGCGTACATACTACCCTCCCCAGACCCCACTTATAGGATTATACTGGGTCGTTGTTGTTGTTGTTGGAGACACTCTCTATTAAGAGCTTTTTAGAGCTTGAACCAGAAATATGATCGAGAAAACTTATTCATTCCGCCACAATTATTGATGAGCAATTAAAATAATAACTTCTACAAAGTCAACAATACATAATAGAAAAGGTGGGGAATTAAAAAAAAAAAAAACGTAAAGCAAAGTCTCAACCCAAAGCACACTTGGTAACAATGAGAATGTAGGAAATGAACTTGAAAATGGCAAGTGAAAGGCTTACCATTTTACCAATACACAGGTACAATATATATCTTCAAACTCCATCTGATCAAAGTATCTCCACAACCCCAAAATAACAGGATAAAAAAAACTTGGAAGAAAATATAAGGAATTAAAACGTAATTAAGATAGAGTTTAACAATCTTGATTAATAATCAAGGGAAAGTAATTAAGAGCACTGGAAGCCAGAAGGAGCCTCTTTAGAACAAACATTAAGAAGCAAACTAAGTGAAATAGGAACATTAAGGTTAATGCCCAAAATGTTAGCCTTAATAGCAGAGCAAAGGCAAAGAGCAGCTTCAACATTAGCAAGACCAGAGAGAAGGCTGCAACAAGGAGCGACTGGGGGTAGGGCTGTATTTTGTCCCGGGCCCGGGCCTTAGTGGGCCTAACGGGCCGGGCCTCGCGGTCCCGGGCTTCGTGGTCCCGGGCTCTGGCGGTCCCGGGCCTGGCGGTCCCGGTCTTCGTGGGCCTAATGGGTGGAACCGGCCCGTGACGGGCCTAAGCCCACATGGTCCTGTGCTTAACGGGCCGGGCTCGTGGGCTTCGCGGGCCTAGCGGGTTTTT